TCTCTGGTTTTGTCTTATTCTCGTCGCTGCGCTGTTTTGTTCTGCCCTGTATTTTGTGTGCACTCTTGATTTTCTTAAGCTGCTGCAATTAAAGGGTGCATCCTTGCCAGCAGCCAGCTATTATTTCAGGCGAGTGCGCCACTTACAAGCTAGCCGAAAACTTTTTAATATGCTTGCGAAATTTTGTCAAAATTGCAAGTTAAATAAGAAAGTAAAGTACAAGGCACGCGGCGTTGACATCGCTCGACGAGTAAAAGTAAAGCAAACACAACGGCAAACTGACAAAGGACTCAGTGGCTGAGGACTCGAGAATCAGGACTTGAGAATGGCATGGAGAAACCATCAACTTAATTTCCCGCCCAAGTCAATCCAACTTTTGTGCAATTTGCGTGACAAAATGGGAAAAGAAAACCGAAATGGGGAAACGAACTTGCTGGGAGCCACAAAGTTTGATTGCAATTGAGACAAATAGGGTTGTGTGAGCGACCAAAAAAAATCTGCACACTACGCCTGCCGAATAATATATGTCCTGGCACCTTTGGAAAAAAACTTTTAAGCCTTTGATAGCATGTGATGCATTTTATGGATTTCCGATGCGCCACCCCCCAAACCAGTACAAACACACACACGGCCACTTTTCTCAAAGGGTTTTCATGCAGCTCTGCATTTAATTGAATTGCCAGCAATAAGCAATGCCACACGCCACAGGATTTTTTGCTTGCCACTTTTGCCAACTTCTTTGTCGCCGGCGGACAGCAGGAAACTTTGTGAGAAAAGCCCCGAGCAAAATTCAAATAACTCAAATTCAAATTCCAGCTGCATGGCTCTCATTTCTCGTTTTATATAATGAAAGGTGACAAAAGGCGACGGGGAGTTTCCAATAAATATGCAATGTAAACCCTGCACATATTTTATTGCATCCGGGCACAAAGGCCCCGCCAAAACGACGACTAAAAAGAATGCCGAACTTAATCAAATACGCATGCTCATTAAACTTTTTCAATTTAAAGCCATTGGGTGTCAGGTCTTGAGGTCCCGTGCGTCAACTGATTAAAGTTGCATGGCAACAAAGTTGCCAAGTCGCCTCGCAAATGTCCCAAAGGTCTGCCGCCCTACTCGAAACTGAAGCGCAAATGGCATGTCATAAATTAAAGCCACAAAATGTATCTCAGCATGCGAGGAGCAACAGTGCCCGGTATACAATATGCAAATGAAATTATCGAGCCCATCCTGGAGGCAAGATGGCGCGTTAGAAGCCGAAAACCTCCGCCGGATTGTCGGTCGGAATAGAGTGCATATTCCGGGGCTTGTGGCCCAGGCCTCTGACCAAAAAATATGGAAATATCACTCTGAGAGCGAGCTGCTGATGGGGTATTAAAAACTGAGATGTTGGTCGAGAAAAATGGGAGTGAAATCACTTTCTGTTCGTCAACTGAGAGGATTGCCTTCAACTCGTGATGAAAATTTCTAGTTTTCCATCCTTGCCCATGTGCAAAAAAAGTTCTTCATTTAAGAACAGAAACACCTTTTGATGTACATGGCAAGAAAATATAGTTTATCGATATTCATGCTGAACACAGTCATAAAGCAAAAGAAGGAAAATGGTAATGAAACAGAACATTGAACTATTGGAGTCTTTTGCTATTTTTATGCAAAGAATATCATGAATTCCTTTGCGATACAACCGAATTCCTGAAATGAGGACAGTAAGGCGCCAGATCTACTGTCCGGCGCGTATCGATAAGCTCTTTTCCACAACTCATAAAAATGTTACTTGAATTCAAAAAAAAACACAGTTCATATCTCCCCAACGTGTTGATTTGCAAAAATTAAAAATAGAAAACAACAAAAAATACCTGCATTTGAATGGTAACAAATATTATCAGAAATCCAATTTGATTTCTTTTTAAATCTTATTCAACTTTGTGAACTTTTGCTACAGTTTTGATTAGATTTGATTTCACTAAAAAAAACTCATATGCAAGGGTCACCTGTCACCCAAATCGCATTTAATTAGAAAACGCAAATTATGCCACCGAAAACTGGCACTAGAAGCCGCCAAGTTGGCATTTGGCATGCGGCCGGGTCTTAGCCACAAACTCAGCATTTGGCATCCAGAATCAGCCAAACACGTTGCCCCACTTGCCCGGCTTTTAATGAAATCGCAGAGCATATGCTGTGTCGAGTGGGTTCGGTGGTTGGGTGGTTCTGCTGGTGGTGCTGGTGGTTTTTGGGGGCTTTGGGGAGTCGGTGTCAGTCCCACACTCTCACCTGAAGTTTTATTTCAGCCGGGGTCAGGTGGGTCACGCCGGCAGTCAAAGCTGACACGCACACGCACATATTTAGGCCGGGTCGAGTGGGTGGGTGGCTGTTGACTGGCTTTTGACTGGGATGAGCAGGAAACGGATGTGGAACGGGAAGTGGATGAGTGGGAGGGGCTGAAGGGGTCCTCATTGCGCCCCGACTGTGATAAGAAAGTGTCAACACAAACGTGACAAAGCTACAAATGTTTAATTTTTATGGCTGTGGTCGGGCATTTGCCTTGGTTTGTGGGCGGCTCCCGCTGCGCGTGCCTCGTCGCTTAACTCAACTTATTTACAGTTGGCAAAGGGTTCGAGATCCCGGCCACATTTGGTCAAGCGCTCGCCGGTTTTTGTGCCGAAAATCACGTTTTTACCGTAAACATGTTGCAAAGTTCGGGACTGTTTTATCTTCTGGCATAGTTTTCCCGGCCAGCCACTGGGCCAGCGGGTCGAGAACGTGTCAGCATGGCATAGAGAAAAATGGTGACGCTGTGTTGCCGGAGTAAAATATTTAAATTTAGTTAAGGCTTAGGCACCCAACATTTGTTTGCTTCTCCTTGCCGACTGGATGAACAACATGCTTAAGTTAAATTAATTTTGTATACATTTAAGGGGTGTTTAGCCATGCCTTGGCAAATAAGAAATCGCCAGAGAAAACAATTCGTTATCGCTTCGTTTTTTGGCTGCATTTTTCCTCCTGGCTTACTTAATTTCCCTGCAAGTTTCTCGGCACACATGCGGCTTTGTTTTGCTGGCTAAAATTTAATGCACGCCAAGCCCACATGAGAGAGTGCTGCCGAACACAGAGATACACAGGCACTAGCACTAACACTAACACTAACACATTCGAGAGCATAATGAATGTGCAGCAACATTTTTGATGGCGCTCGCTGACAACAATAAATTACTTTTGGCTTTAAACGAAAACCATTAGCATAAAACTTGGCAACAGCAACAACAGCAATACAGCAATACAGCGGCCACAACAGCAACGCCAGCAACATCCTTTTAACGCGGATACTAGGCGTATGCGCAATATTTGTCTGGCTCTAATTTTAGCCAACAATTTGCCAGCACTTACATGATTAAATTGCAGCCCCGAATACGCTGATGATGGGGCGGCTGCAAACCAGTAATGGTGATGTGATGGCTATGGTAAAAACTCTGATGGGGGTTAAAACTTTTCAAATATGCGAGTCTTTTAATTAACTTGCCGGCACTTGTGAAGCCCTGTGTTTTAATATATTGTACGAATATTCCCTCCTTTTCGACCCTTTTTTTCCCGTTCGTTTTCGCCCAAGCATGCTTTTATTAAGCGTTTCATAATTTCATGCAGTAAACTTGCTAATTGCGCCGCCTTGCTTCCTTTTTGCCTCGCCACTCGACTCCACTTCACTTCCATTTCCACTCCACACAACTCAACTCAACTCAACTCGTTTCGCTATGCCGCCCATTTTGCCAAGACTTTGCAGGCCAAGAAAGCTGCCAAAAAAGTGTGTATAAAATAATAGGAAAACATGGCAAAGGACAGCCGAGTGGAAGCCGTGTCGAAAGCAAGCCAGTGAGAATTAGTTGCCCCAAAGTGTTTTCCGTTTTTAATATTTCCTCCGACTTGGGAAAAGTTGAGAGCCGAGCATCGCGGCCACTTTGGACACTCTTTTGGCCACGGTCCGTCGCTTTTCTGCTGCTTGGTCACTGCTGGGTCACTTGCTCAATTTCCGCTTTTAATTAAATGAACATTAGGCTAGGGGCTGAGCCGCCGCCTCAAAAACCAACCACCTGATGGCATTTTTCCATTGCCCTGCGATGCATTTTACATTGCAAGCGAGTGCCAAATTGCGCGTAAATTGCATGCAGTTAGTTTTAAATTTTAAAATTAATTTTAAGCCCTTGTTTGCCGCTTCTGAACTAGCTGTGTGTTTGTTTGCTTTAATAGCTGTTAATATTTATGAACTAAAAGTTCAAACAACAAATAGTCGAATAGGGCAAACTGTTGTCGATATTTAACGATGCATTCGGTAGGTGAAATTGTGTTGCCAGTATTCGCTTCATATTGTATGGCAACCGGACCTAAACAAACGGCAGGCGTGAATGGGCTCATAATTATTCAATAACAGTTTATTTAAAACAAACCATTAGAGCTTCATTTACGATAACTAATTTATAGCACATTTGGTTTGAAGTACCTGCAAGTTAATTAAGATATGTTAGATAGTATCTTTAAGAAGGGATTTGTTCAATTATTGAATTAAATATGACGAATTTTTATTTTAAATATGTAAATTTAATTTTATTTAACACTAAACAAATTTAAAAAAAAAATAGCCCAATTTGCCATTCTATTTTTTCCATAACTTTGTTTCTTAAGAAACATGAATTAAAACTTTGGTCTGCTATCTTCGGTCGATTCTCCTGCCGATTTAACCAAATTCAAATTTTCCAAAAATTTCTTTGCAGAAAAGTTACCAAAACCAGCAATTCATAAAAATATATTTACTAGTCTATCATATTAATTGTACTTGATGATATTTTTCTTCTCTGGCGTAGAAATAAATGCATAACAAGATAAAGCAGTCCAAGGCAATTAAAAGCTTCAGTAAATTTAGCTGCATCAGTTGCATTCGCAGCACTTCCAGATCTGAGGAACACCAATCCATCAAGGAAATTTATATTATTCTGTAAATCTACCCAACTCACCATCCTGTTGCTTTTGTGCCTGCAGCAGTTGAATCTCCAGTTCGGGCAGTAGAACATCGGATTGCCGGTCAATTTGAATCTCGAAACTCAGAAGACGATCGGATGCATCATTATTATTCACAGTGGGCGCTGGCAGGACGAACCCAAGCCATTGTATCGTTAAGAAAAGGATGGACAAGGAGTTACTTAGCCCAGACATTGTCGATCAACGAATGGTAATGAAAAATACTCTTTCTGTGCCGCCCTGGATCGGAGATGTCAAACATTTGCGTAAATATAGAAATAATGAACACACGCTGCGTAGAGTTGTGTGACTGGTACGTATATTTGCATGGCCGTTGTTTAAATACCCGCACAAAGCAGCTGAGGAGCAAACAATGACGAGCAATATCCGATACGAAGGTTAAGCGACAGAATTTCTTCATTACTCATGGAGCTGAAGTACTAGTGGGTGTAGCTATTGTAGTAGTTTCCTCTGTCGATTTCTTTCCAGATTCCGTAGTAGTTGGCGTCGTAGTTGTTGCTGTTATTATTCTATCAGTTGTTGATTTTAGAGGCAATGAAGGCGGCACAGGTGCGGCCGATGTCTCATTTGAAATTGGCGTTGGAAGTGTGCCAGAATCGCCGGAACTAAAACTGCCCAGCACTCCCAAAATTTCCTGCAAAGAAAAAAGTTGTTGGGTAAAGCCATTTTGAAAATGGGAATCTTAAACAGTTAAGCTGTGGATTTAAACTACTTGAATTCTGTTTTTGGTGACACAGAAATCTGTGTACCAAAGTAAAGGGAGATAGAAAACAATTGTCTAGATAAAGAATTTAGTGTTTTTTAAGAGGTATTTGGATAATCTAGTTTACTACTTTGAAATAAAGTTATTTATGTATTTTTTTGACTGACATCTTACTAAAAAAACTAAAGTTCCTAAAGCAATTTTAGCACTCTATATTTTTATAAAACTTTTTCGGTGGAAAACGCGAATGTATTTGAAAAAACTGCACATTTTTTCAGTGTTTTTACCTTTTTAAAGTGTTGCCATAAACCGTCAATCGTATCTGTTGCCTCTTCAAGCGCACTGAAAATGCCTCCTGTCTCATCGCCTCGTCCTGTGGTATTTTTCTTCTCTGGTAAGTCGAAGAAAATGCCACTGACACTGGCCAAACAGCCGAGGAGACACATCCAGATTAGTATATTCATGATGGTCGGCAGTGAATTGAATGGCTTATTTCTATCCTCAAGCAGCAAGTGGATGTGATCAAATGTCTAAGAAGACGCGGATACACTGCGTTTTTGACGGTTGCTCTCGTGTTGATTATTCTCAGTAACCCTGAATCTAACTAAAATAAACGGCTGTTTAAATAGCTGACAAAATAACTGACATTGTTTGTTGCAGATGTGTGTGTGTGACTCATGAATGAACCGTGTCATAGCATAAGTAAGCTTAGAAAAATATTTTACCAGATCAGCAACATTTAATTACTAAAACAAAATCTTTACAATCGATTGAGTCTCTTTACATATTTTAAAACTAAATTATTTTTATTACTAAATAAAAGACCCTCTATTTTAATTTGACACGAAGCTCATAAAAGATGTTCTTTGTTATTTGGATAAAAAAAAGTAATATTGGTATGTTTGATAAACTATCATTACTGTGGAAGCTGTTTGCTTGTCTGCTTTACTACACAGATACATTGTCATACAAATGTCATGGATGACTTTTATTTATATTAACGAAATAAAAAAGTCGTAATGCCAAGCAATTTAACCTAGCGAGGATAATATTCTGTCTGCATCGCTGTCAAACTCAAGGAAGGTTTCTTGGGGCTGGGATTTGATCACCGCTGAAACTCACTTTCCAGCACTTTGTCATAAATGCATTTCGTTTCGCCGTGATGCTCTCCGGCAAAGACGGACATCTAATTGGCCCTAATATCGCTGTCATCCGCACTTACAACCCACTCGCACTCAGCCAGCATTATGTCTTTGATCTGACTTAGACATATGCCCAAGATAATGGCGTTGGCTCTGGCAGATGCACTCCAGTTCGTTGGTGCGACTCGAGCGCATCGAGTTGTAAGCGGGAGAAAAGCATTTCACATGCATTCACAGGCAGCAGCGTTTTAAATTAGTCCCCAATGTGAAGGGGACTTCGGAGGAAATCCAAGGGCTGATGACTCAGTTGACTTCGGGGGATGACGATGATGTGATTCAACTTGAAGGCGATGTGTGCGAGTGAGCTTCAATTAATATGCGGCAATTGCAAGTGCACGCCTGGGTTATCTGCTGCCACCTAATTGGTTATTTATGTGCACATCCCTTTCCATCTAATTAACTGAGTGCAGAATGCGGATTACCTGTCATTTCCACCCGTTTATCGCCTCTTTCAATTGATCGAATTTGCTCGAGGAAATCAAGCGTCCACACAAGAGCAGCACACAAGTTGCAAGAGCCCAATAAAAACAAGGATATGGCAAGAGAAACATGCAGTCTCATGACTTGCCCCGCCAGCCTGATCCATTGCACTGCAAGTGTCACATAAATTACAAGCGGAAGCATCAAAATGCTGTCAAATGAAGAATGGGCGAGGGAAAAAGCTAGGGAGTAAAGTTGATTCGCGTCGCGACGAAAAGGATTTTCATTGCCGCATTTTGAGAGCGAGTTACACTTGCAGTACATCAAGAGAAAGGCATGGAAAGAACTTTGAAGACAAGGTTTTTAAAAAGTTAAAATCATTTAGAGTTATAAGAGTGCCTGGTGAACTTTATTTTAGCGCAGTGTGACCTCGACATTTCTAAAATTTCCTCAATTAGGTTCAAAGTTTTTCAAATAGCAGTATTAATTTCGTTGAAATATAAAAAACTTACAATTTTAAATTGGTTCAAATAAAACGTTAACTGCTGATCCCTTTTTTTCCTGTGCAATTGCTTGGCATTACTTGACTTGGCTTGTTTGGGAGCTTGGCGTTTAGTTTTTCGCATTGGCACTTTGTCTTCATCAGGGGCGCCGAGCGGTGGCCGCAACAAGCTCATCATAGCCATCGACGGCCGCATCATCGTCATCTTCATCGTCATTCTCATCGCCGTCGTCGGCGTGCTCCTACATAGCTATAAACATCAATTTAGCAACGAAAATTGGTTTTCAGATAGCTTCCACATACACATGCAAACGTACACTTCTTCAGCTGAAGAAAAATTGTTTTTCGCTTTAAGTGACAAGCAGTGAGAACGAAGCGACGACAACTTTGTCGATGTCTTCGTTCCCATCTTGGTGTAGTATTCCCTTTTATTTATTTGTTGTTTTTTGGGGCTAGTGAATTTTGTCATGTCGAAGCACCCGTGTGGAAAATAATAAACCAAAAACACAGACAAGCACACTGCAAAATAAAAGTACTGCCCCAGTTTCGCACATCTCTGCAATTATATAGCTAGTATATTTAAAGGCTGGCTTTGATCTTGATTGCGACATAAAGATATATGTATATATTGATTTGAAGTAAATATTGCAGCATTTCGGGCGACATTGAGACGAGCTGACCACGCCCGTGCTGGGCCATAAATTTATCATTGCATAACCGCAGGCGCATGAATAAGACATTCGAATTGTGGCAAACGGAATGTGGGGAGCCAACATATATTGATAATGATTAGATTGATTGAAAATTTAATGGCTAAGCGATGGTCTGAGCCGAAAAGACCACGCAATTTACCAAGAGTGCTAACCAATCCAACACCCACTCTATCGTAAAACGCCAACAGAACCTGTCATAAACCACAAACACAGACGTATTCCAAAGGCCACTTCACTGGCGAGTTGTAAACGAAAGCGTCAAAAGCGAAAATTATTTAAATTTATGCCGGGCACAAAAAAGAAACGAAGTATAGAACGAAGACGACCGAAACGGGCGTTGAATGTGTGCCAAATGAAATTCGTAGAAATTTTATGCAAACCTCAACAAATTGTCATTAAAAGCGGCAACACACACACACACTGACATACACTGACGAGACTTGGCCATAAACAGAGCCGCCATTCGGCCGGCCATATTTATGATGTGAACGACAAGACAAAATGGACTTCCGGCTGGCCAAAAGCATAGAGTCTGGGCCATAGAGTGCCGGCTCTTTGCATTTTAATAGACTGACCCAAACGCTTTTCAAACCACATGCAAAACGCGAAAATACAAACGCTTGCACATGTGCATATTAGCCAGGTGTGTGTGAGAAGCATTTGCATTGCAAATTGGGAAAAGTTTAAAAAATTTATGCGGCTTTAATGGCACCTGGCGACTGCAGACCGGACCATGGATCCAGAAACCAGAAACCAGACCACACCAACCAAGACTATTCCAGGAAATTATATACTAAATAGCGGAATAATTTTTTGGCATTTGTGCTGCTCATTTTTTTCCTAGCATTTTCTGTTCTCGTGTTTGTCGACCACATTAAATGCAAATTTATGCCTATTTGCTGCAAGAAAGTGTAACGGAACCTTTCTGTTGCTAGCTGCTTGTTAAACTCGCATAAATTTCGCTGGTGGCTTCCCATTTAACCCAACACTAAAAGGATATCACCAGAGATGGCAAGGGTTTTTAGTTAACGAGGTGATGTAAAAGGTATATCACTATATCACAAAAATGCAACCAAACGCAAACAAAAAAAATTATAAAACGTTGTACATATCCTGCAATATAAAATTCATGACTCTATCACCACTTTCCTTCATAACTACGAAGCTCAAAGAGATTGAAACTTTATTGTAATGCTAAAAGTACTAAAATAGAGTAGCGAATCTTATTACAAATACGATTTGCCATTACTGAATAATAGCACCCCATTGCAAACCAACTATTGAGCGACTCATCAAAGCCATGGGCGTGTCCTAAAGGGGTAATCGAGGGATTGGCAATGGCTGAACTATGGCAAACTATCGCCACTTGCATTGTGCATTCGAGCAATGCTCGCAACTTATTGTTGTTATCGCTCTTTGCACTTCTTTTGACTTCTTTTGGCTGCCACTTGGCAGGCCAAACTCTTTGCAACTTGGCTAAGTAAAATTTATGTGCATTTCTTGCCTGTCCCTCCAGTGTGGAATGTGCCAAGAAATGTTTGGTTTTGTCTTCGGTCTTTTTGCTCTCATAGGCGCAGCAGCATTGGAAAAACGTTAGCTCCAAATAATTAGCCATTAACAATTGGCCAGGACCAACAAGGACTTTTGAGCTCGGCCGTCTGTTGCCAATTTCTTTTCCAGGCCGTGCCTGCAAAAGTTTTACGCTTTATTTGTGCTGGCTATCCCATCTTGGGCTGGCAAATTGCTGTCTTGCTGCTGCTGTAGCAACTTTTGGGCCTGATGCGCTCAATAAAACGATTTATGCAACTTGCCCCTTTCGAGCCCCGAAAACTTTGTAAACTTTTGCCAACATTTGTTTTGTCTATTGCCCAGTATCTGTATATTGTGGCATTTCTGGCAGGCTCGGACTCTCAGCCACTTGGCCTAAACTGCCCGACTTATTAGTGCAGTTTATTCAACGACTCAAGAAGCTGCGCGTGCGGTATGTCTTCGGGGTGCCCATAAATCTCGGGTGGGCAACTTTCGGACACGGCCAGCAAATAAACACCCGGGGTCATAAATCAGGGGGCGCGTTCGGCTGGCTCAGCTGCAACATGGCCAACATGACGTGCAACATGCACCGCACAAAAAACTGCACTCTGATGGTCTAGCACAAAAAGAAGCAAATCGAAGCTCCTTGGGCGTGGCTAATGCAAATCATCCGGCGGCGACAACAGCTGCAGATTTTGGCCAAATTGCCTGGCCGTAACCCGGTTTGTGGAAATGGCATTGGCATTGGCATTCATGGTGCTGCGCGTCTCCACGCCTCAGCATAATTTATCATTCATTGCAGCTTATTACGCGGCCATGAATAATCAAAGGGTAGCAAATAAAAATGGAAGTGCTTAGCTAATTGAAATCAATTTTGCTTCGCTTAGCGCCCATAGCAACACATTCAAATTGTGAGGCTTTGGAAAATGGCGCATCGACCTGAGTTATATTTTGAGGAAGACCTCCCGCTTAATCTACTACAATCCTCGTTCGATTTGTGGCACCTGCTACATTTCGGCCACTGTCAAACTGCAACTCATGTCATGTGTGACAAAAATCGAACACTGATGCCACTGACAGACGCAATTTTGGCCAGCAATTGTAATTGGTTTAGGTCCGGGTTTTGCAGTTGTACTAGTACCAGCAAGTTGGAACCATTCGTTAATTAACATGTTCG